GGGTGGGGGGGGGGGGGTGCCTTAGTACAGCCCTCCCTTCCTTTACACAACACTGAGCTGAGGGGGGCGGGGCATGGCCAGCCCCCTGCAAGATGCTCTGATTATCCCAGCTGGGAATTGATAAGTGTTTATCACCCCATTAAGAAAACAGAGGGACATTACCAGCTACCTGTTGATTTTGCCTGTTGATTCAGCACTGACTGTAGCCAGCATGTGGCCTGCTAGCTATTACACAGATACCTCTCTGCAAGGCAAAGAGGAGGGGAGAATTCCTGGTCAGCACGGAGAGGTGAGGGGGAGGTGGGGAGCAGCCCACAGTCTCCACAGCTGAAGCCCGGGAGCAGAGGGCCCCACCCAGCCCAGAGAGCATGCCAGGATGCTAAGGGAGTCTGATTTATCTAAAACCAGCAAGGGATTTGGGAAAGACAATGCATAAACTGGTTTGACCCAAATCAGTTAATTCTGATACTATATTCAACCAGGTTCATCTCAAACCAGTTTCAGCCATTTTCAAGTTGTTTTATGTGCACTGAACTTCTGTTCTGTTACAGGTTTAAATCAGTTTCTGATCTCTTATACTGGTTTGTGTGTAATGTCTGTCTCTAGACCATGTAGTAAGGGACAATTGACCCCATTTTTTTGCCAACCAAATTCAGCAAATTTTTCCCACCCAACAAGGACTTCAGTGGCAAAAAACGGAGTGAAAGTTTCCACCTAGCAGCAGCCAACTCCACTGCTACTCTACAGAACTACCTGTCCCAGAATGCTTTGCACTCTGTGATACATTTCTTGTGCCTGTTGCTTGTAGCTACTCTTCATGCTGCCTTGTGGGGAAGGCTGAAAGAGGTGTGCCCTCTACGCTTTTGCCCACCTAATAAAACCCTGCACAAGTAGAGTTTTATTACGATTCCTAAAGATGTCAGGACTCAGGCTGTGGCAGGCCTCAAGAAGGAGGAAGCTGAAGGTGACTATGGGGGATAAGCTTCCATGTATTGTCTCTGAACAAACTTGGGGCACAACTGGAAATTGCAGGAGGTCTCAGCTTACCTTTGGGATTGTGATGAAACATAGAGGAGGTGGTTCCTTAGTTATGTAGGGCACAGGCCATTTGTAAAACTTGCCTAAAATTTGGAGATGGGGCACCAAATACATTTTAAAAGGGCAAATGATTTATTTAGTGAGATATAATTTTGTCATATCTGAGTAATAGTTCTGAGGTGGCAACTTACACTGAGTTGGGATAAAGGGGAGGAGTTGTCCCACTTAGTGTTACCTTCCTTATATGACCTTGACAACTTTTAGTGTAAAACATTCCTCTTCCTCATGAAAGTCAAGACAAAAGCTGGGACAGGCAGAAGACTTTAGGACTAGAAAATAATGGTTTGGGGGGGGGTTT